TGTGAGTGAGTGTGTGAGAGTGTATGTATGTGTGAGTGAGTGTGTGAGAGTGTATGTATGTATGTATGTGTGAGTGAGTGTGTGAGAGTGTATGTATGTGTGAGTGAGTGTGTGAGAGTGTATGTATGTATGTATGTGTGAGTGAGTGTGTGAGAGTGTATGTATGTATGTATGTGTGAGTGAGTGTGTGAGAGTGTATGTATGTATGTATGTGTGAGTGAGTGTGTGAGAGTGTATGTATGTATGTATGTGTGAGTGAGTGTGTGAGAGTGTATGTATGTGTGAGTGAGTGTGTGAGAGTGTATGTATGTGTGAGTGAGTGTGTGAGAGTGTATGTATGTGTGAGTGAGTGTGTGAGAGTGTATGTATGTGTGAGTGAGTGTGTGAGAGTGTATGTATGTGTGAGTGAGTGTGTGAGAGTGTATGTATGTGTGTGTGAGTGAGTGAGTGAGTGAGTGAGTGTGTGTGTGTGAGAGAGTGTATGTATGTGTGAGTGTGTGTGTGAGAGTGTATGTTTGTGTGTGTGAGAGTGTATGTATGTGTGAGTGAGTGTGTGAGAGTGTATGTATGAGTGAGTGAGTGTGTGTGTGTGAGAGAGTGTATGTATGTGTGAGTGTGTGTGTGAGAGTGTATGTTTGTGTGTGTGAGAGTGTATGTATGTGTGAGTGAGTGTGTGAGAGTGTATGTATGAGTGAGTGAGTGTGTGTGTGTGAGTGAGTGTGTGTGTGTGTGTGTGTGTGTGAGTGAGTGAGTGAGTGTGTGTGTGAGTGAGTGAGTGTGTGTGTGTGAGTGTATGTATGTGTGAGTGAGTGTGTGAGAGTGTATGTATGTGTGAGAGTGTATGTATGTGTGAGTGAGTGTGTGTGTATGTGTGTGTGTGTGTGAGAGAGAGTGTATGTATGTGTGAGTGAGTGAGTGTGAGTGTGTGTGTATGTGTGTGTGAGAGAGTGTATGTATGTGTGAGTGAGTGTGAGAGTGTATGTATGTGTGAGTGAGAGTGTGTGTGTGAGTGAGTGAGTGAGTGTGTGTGTGAGTGAGTGAGTGAGTGAGTGTGTGTGTGTGAGTGTATGTATGTGTGAGTGAGTGTGTGAGAGTGTATGTATGTGTGAGAGTGTATGTATGTGTGAGTGTGTGTGTATGTTTGTGTGAGTGAATGAGTGTGTGTGTATGTGTGTGTGTGAGAGTGTATGTATGTGTGAGTGAGTGTGTGAGAGTGTATGTATGTGTGAGTGAGTGAGTGTGTGTGTGTGTGTGTGTGTGTGTGTGTGTGTGTGTGTGTGTGTGTGTGTGTGTGTGAGAGTGTATGTATGTGTGAGTGAGTGTGTGTGTATGTGTGAGTGAGTGTGTGTGTGTGTGTGAGTGTGAGAGTGTATGTATGTGTGAGTGAGTGAGTGGTTGTGTGTGTGTGTGTGAGTGCTTGTGTGTGTGTGTGATCTCACTGTTGGGGTCGATGCGGTATGTATCAGGGTTGATGAGGTCGATGGTGACGCCCAGATCCGGTTCGGTGAGCAGCTCGTGTTTGTGTTGCTTCTCTAGTGATGTGGCTTTATACTGCACAAACCTGCAACACACACACACACACACACTCACTACACAGCATCCCACGAGCCCGTCACGGCTGAAGCGGACCGGAGCCGTACCTGTGCTGGTCGAACGGATACGTGATGAACTTCGGATCAAACGGGATATCCGGAAGACTGTTCCCATATTTCACTCTGCACACGACGCCAGACCTGAAGCACACGAGAAACACGTGAAGCATCATCACACGGATCACAGTCTGTGATTGGTCAGTCGGACAGATGGCCCCGCCCCCACTCTCACGTGATTGGTTGAGTCAGAAGTTGACATGTTGATTCAGTTCAGTTCAATAATTGTGTATGAAACCAGTTCAATTCACTACAGAAGTCAATTCAGAACAAGTTTTGTTCCTCGCAATAGTGTCACTGCATCCTAATTAGCATAGATCCACCCTAAAGAGTGTTCAAGATCTGGAATACTATTAAGGGTGGATAACGTGAGTATTAGGATGCTGGAAATGTTGTGAAAGCATCGAAGAGTCACAGGGTTTCTCTGTCAAACTACCAGTGACTTTATACATCAGAAGTGCACTAGTTCTTCATCATCATCATCATTACCTCTCTGGGACACTTCTGTGTGCTGAACTTCTGCAGAAAACACACAGAAAGAGATATAAATCAGACATGACCCGATCAGAATAGCGATTTCTAACGTCTAACGTCTATGTATTTACTATGAACCTAACGTTACATCTATGTTTCCTAGCGTTCTCTATCTATTTAGTACTCATATCATATATGTGTATATATATACCGCAGTTTATGTTAGCATATTGGTGTGTTTAACAGGTTAGTAATCTTAGATCTCTCTCACCGGTGTCCGTCCTCGCGCTGCGCCTGCGTCTGTATAGTAGGAGCCATAGAGGAGGAAATAAACGCGTTTTCTCCACAAAAACGATTAATATACAGCGATGAAAGAGTTCAAATCAGCTTATCGACACAACAACAGCAACGCGCGCGCCTGCGAGCGAATGAGTGCCTGACTTCCGCCCCGCAGAGTTCCTGCAGGACCCCGCGCGCGAGGAGGAGCTGCCCCGCTCAGCGCCTGAATCAAACTCACCGCTTCACTGGCAAATTACTCAAACTCTGACTGTACATAACATATTCATGCATTTCTTGACGTATGTAATGATGCATATTTAACTATTTATTAATGTCGTATAGTTATATCAACAGAGGTGTTTTGTTTTAATTGTGTACATTCATGTGAACAAGCTGACTACTGGTAGCAATATGGAGGCCCAAACCTGCAAAACAATTGTATAGTATTCTTTAATATATATATTTTTAATAATTTCTTATAATAATTATTTTATATATAAAGAAATATATAAAAAATGAATATATATCTTCTATTAAAATTGTTAAATAATAAATTATTATTATTATTTAACAATTTAAATATGAAATGTTAGTATTATTTTATATTCAAATTGTTAAATAATAATAATAATAAAATAAGAAAAAAATATATCAGAATTAATTTTAATTTAATATTTTTAAATGTTATTTAATAAATTGTTATAATTATTATTATATATTCAATTTGTTAAATAACACATTATTATGATTATTATTATTTAACAATTTAAATATATTTTTATACTCAAATGGTTAAATAAAATTATAACAATAATGCACTTTTATATAGTATTCTTTAATATTTTTAATAATTTATTATCAGTATTATTTTATATTCAAATACACACATTATTATTAGTATTATAGATACACTATTATTATTTTATTAATTTAAATATAAAATATTAGTATTATTTTATATTCAAATTGTTAAATAATAAATAATACAAAATAATTAATTTGTATACAGTATTTAATATTTTCAATGTTATCATTATTTTATATTCAAATTGTTAAATAGTAAATTATTATTATTATTTAACAATTTAAATATAAAAAGTTAGAATTATTTGTATATTCAAATGGTTAAATAATAATAAAATAATAACAAAAATGATAAATAAGTGAACAAATGAGAGAGAGGAACATAATAATAGGAAAATAAATAATTTAATAAATGACTTGACAAAACAAACATAATTAATGTGTAATTAAATGCATTCCTCAGTTCTTGCACATGATGAGATGTTACACATGAACACACATGATTTAACCACAAACAAGTGTAATAAATTCTGTGAAAAACTAAATGAGAATATATAATAATAGAGAATATATAATAATAATGAGTGTGTAAAGCATAATTCCCATTAAGCGTTTCTCCAGTCTAGTGTAGAAACGAAACCTCAGAGAAACTCACTGTAAAACTGCTTTATTATCAGGCAACAAAAACAAAAGGACAAATTGGTACAAAAATAGAAAGTGTATAATTGCAGGATTTGTATCATCTTGAGACGTTAATGCTCTATAAAGTGAAACTCCCTCTAGTTTAGAAGATGAAATCAGCTCCAGATCACACAGATATCTCTGAGCTTTCATTGGTTATTATTCTGTTATTGCTGAACCTCTCTCTCTCTCCATCAGGATCCTCTGAGACGTGACATCACCGATGACCTCTGACCCTCCCCGTCCTATGAGCACGGCACGCCCACGCCGCGACATCACTTCCTCACGTCTGCATATGCGCAGACAGATCGATTCTGCAACAGGAGAAACACGTCAAACTGACTTAGCAAAGAAAATGCAACAAGGTAACAGTGTGCTTGCTGCATTTATTACTATAGAAATAACAGTAAATTAGGCATTATTACGAATAACGGTAACAGCTTATTTTACAGTGTCCTTGTTACATCATTTACATGTACTTACCATAGTAATATCAGTACATCGTGCATAATTACATGCAACTAACCCTCAACCAAACCCTTCCCTAACCCTATAGTAAGTGCATGTGGTTTGTTAATATTACTCAGTACTTACTCTGATAAAATAAAACTGACCTGCTCAACACATAGAGGAACTGATCCGGATCATCTGCAAACTCCCTGCAAACACAACAATCATCATCATCATCATCATCATCATCAGCCCGTGATGAGGTGTGGTGTGTTTGACTGGCCTCACCCTGAGCCCCAGTGGTAGAAGACCCTGTCCTGATAGTACAGACACAGGAACAGCCACACACTGATGGTCTCCAGCCAGAAGATCACGAAGAGGAACCAGACAGAAGAGAGCAGCAGCTCACACACCATCCTGAGACCTGCAGACAGCAGCATCATCATCATCATCAGCATCATCATCACTATCATCAGCATCATCACCATCAGCATCATCATCACTATCATCATCATCATCATCATCATCATCATCACTATCATCATCACTATCATCATCACTATCATCAGCATCATCATCACTATCATCATCATCATCATCATCATCATCATCACTATCATCAGCATCATCATCATCACTATTATCATCATCATCATCACTATTATCATCATCATCATCATCATCATCACTATTATCATCATCATCATCATCATCAGCATCATCACTATTATCATCATCATCATCATCAGCATCATCACTATCATCATCACTATCATCATCACTATCATCAGCATCATCATCACTATCATCATCATCATCATCATCATCACTATCATCATCATCATCATCACTATCATCAGCATCATCATCATCACTATTATCATCAGCATCATCACTATCATCATCACTATCATCATCACTATCATCAGCATCATCATCACTATCATCATCATCATCATCATCATCAGCATCATCATCACTATCATCAGCATCATCACCATCAGCATCATCATCACTATCATCATCATCATCATCATCATCAGCATCATCATCACTATCATCAGCATCATCACCATCAGCATCATCATCACTATCATCATCATCATCATCATCATCATCATCACTATCATCATCACTATCATCATCACTATCATCAGCATCATCATCACTATCATCATCATCATCATCATCATCATCATCACTATCATCAGCATCATCATCATCACTATTATCATCATCATCATCACTATTATCATCATCATCATCATCATCATCACTATTATCATCATCATCATCATCATCAGCATCATCACTATTATCATCATCATCATCATCAGCATCATCACTATCATCATCACTATCATCATCACTATCATCAGCATCATCATCACTATCATCATCATCATCATCATCATCACTATCATCATCATCATCATCACTATCATCAGCATCATCATCATCACTATTATCATCAGCATCATCACTATCATCAGCATCATCATCATCACTATCATCAGCATCATCATCACTATCATCATCATCATCATCATCATCACTATTATCATCATCATCATCACTATCATCAGCATCATCATCATCACTATTATCATCAGCATCATCACTATCATCATCACTATCATCATCACTATCATCAGCATCATCATCACTATCATCATCATCATCATCATCATCAGCATCATCATCACTATCATCAGCATCATCACCATCAGCATCATCATCACTATCATCATCATCATCATCATCATCAGCATCATCATCACTATCATCAGCATCATCACCATCAGCATCATCATCACTATCATCATCATCATCATCATCATCATCATCACTATCATCATCACTATCATCATCACTATCATCAGCATCATCATCACTATCATCATCATCATCATCATCATCATCATCACTATCATCAGCATCATCATCATCACTATTATCATCATCATCATCACTATTATCATCATCATCATCATCATCATCACTATTATCATCATCATCATCATCATCAGCATCATCACTATTATCATCATCATCATCATCAGCATCATCACTATCATCATCACTATCATCATCACTATCATCAGCATCATCATCACTATCATCATCATCATCATCATCATCACTATCATCATCATCATCATCACTATCATCAGCATCATCATCATCACTATTATCATCAGCATCATCACTATCATCATCACTATCATCATCACTATCATCAGCATCATCATCACTATCATCATCATCATCATCATCATCACTATCATCATCATCATCATCACTATCATCAGCATCATCATCATCACTATTATCATCATCATCATCACTATTATCATCATCATCACTATCATCATCATCATCATCATCATCATCATCACTATCATCATCACTATCATCATCACTATCATCAGCATCATCATCACTATCATCATCATCATCATCATCATCACTATCATCAGCATCATCATCATCACTATTATCATCATCATCATCACTATTATCATCATCATCACTATCATCATCATCACTATTATCATCATCATCATCATCATCATCATCATCATCATCACTATCATCATCACTATCATCATCACTATCATCAGCATCATCATCACTATCATCATCATCATCATCATCATCACTATCATCAGCATCATCATCATCACTATTATCATCATCATCATCACTATTATCATCATCATCATCATCATCATCACTATCATCATCACTATCATCATCACTATCATCAGCATCATCATCACTATCATCATCATCATCATCATCATCACTATCATCAGCATCATCATCATCACTATTATCATCATCATCATCACTATTATCATCATCATCATCATCATCATCATCACTATTATCATCATCATCATCATCAGCATCATCATCACCATCATCATCACTATCATCAGCATCATCATCATCATCAGCATCATCATCATCACTAAATGACAAAAAGTCAAAAATTCAAAAATTACAAAAAAGTCAAAATTATGACAGACATACCGAGTAGAAATTACATGAAAAAGTCCAAAAATGACAAAAAGTAAAAATTATGACAGACATACCGAGTAGAAATTACATGAAAAAGTCAAAAAATGACAAAAAGTAAAAATTATGACAGACATAGTAAGTTGAAATTACATGAAAAAGTCCAAAAAATGACAAAAAGTCAAAATTATGAAAAAAGTCAAAATTATGAAAAAAGTCAAAATTATGAAAAAAG